AGGTGCTGGGCAGGCTTGGAAAGGGGAAGACAGGGGCCTAGTGTCCTAGGAACCCTTTTAAACAGACCGATTCCCACGCAGTGACCGTCTGAGTAGAAGCATGTAGCCAGTGCCCTGCTGGTGTGGCGCGGCGGGTGAGCACCAAACCATGGATCAGTCACCGGTTTGATTCCCAGTCAGGGCACAGGCCTGGGTTGTGGGCTGGATTCCCCCAGTGGGGGTTGTGCAGGAGGCAACCCATCGATGTTTCTCTGTCACTGATGTTTCTATCCCTCTTCTTTCCTCTCTGTCTAGTAATCAATAAAAACATATTATTAAAAAAAAAAAAAAAAAAAAAGATATGTACCCAGGTGCCCTGCCTGGGGCCTAGCGGCTGGCCAATCCTTCCCAGTCCAGGCCCTGCCTCCGTTCCCTTTGTGGGGGGCAGGAGGCACACTCTCTTTAAGGAAGTCGCTGTATGTTAACTGGGGTGGATCAGGGGGACAAGTCAACGCTGTCTGAGCACCCTACATCCTCTTTTCCCGACTTCTCTGAAAAAGACCAATCTTTAGAGAGATTTTTTTCCCCTTTGTCAGGTCTTGAACAAAGAGATACTATACCCCCCAGATAATGAAGAAAGAGCCTTCCTCGTGATGAAAGATGGATGGAGCAAATGCTACGAGAAATCCATCCCAAGGTATAGAAACTGTGTTAGGGAGGGAGAGACCGGGGTGAGGAGCGAGGGAAGCAATTCGTTTCAGCAGCAACTTACTTAATTCCCAGTCCATCCTTTTCTCGAAATATCAAGGGAACCCTGAGAGCTTCTCTCTGCACGTACTCATAGTTGAAATCTGTTTGGATATTGGAATTAAAACAAGCTGGTGAAGTCATGAAGGAGCAAAAGAACCACAGGCAACTGGTTAGGAGAAGAAAAAAAAAAAAATGATGGAGGAAGGGGCAGGGGTTACCCTAGAGGCAGACACCAGCTCCAGAGTAAAAGCTCCCTGGAAAAATGACAGGGAAATGGACTAAGCGAAGTCTGGGAGAAGCCATGCCAACTATCAGCTCCTCTGCCTACTCAGTCATTCCCGGCATGCCCCATGGGTCAGAACTTGTCAATGAATAGCTCACGGATGGCGAGGGATGGGGAGGGAGCCTCATGAAAGAGCCCCACACAGGAGCCCTGGCTCCTTGCTGAGAAAGAGGGACAGAGCAGCTCATCCCCAGCGGAGCTCAGAAAGCAAAGGGCCTGCGAAATTGAAGAACGCCACCTGGGAGGATCTGAAGGCCCAGAGAGGAGGCTGGGAGGAGGATTCTCATTGTCGCTGAGCATCGGGGAAGGTCTTATTGTAATATGCTGTATAGTGAAGGGGAGGGGGGGAAAAGTCGGTTTCCCTGGAAACTGTGTACTCGGTGCCAAAATAACCAGGGAACCGGGCACCGCTTTGTTGCCTTCACAGTGAAATTCTGCTGCAGCATCGCAACGCTGGCTCCCACTGGATAGCCAGAGGGATGCTCCCCAGGCAAAGGCCGTGCGACGGGGACACGGAGAGACCCCGAGAAAATTCACAACAGTTTTCCATCTGGGGTTCGCCTAATGCAGACCCCCAGATCCTCACCCCAACTCTGGAGGTGAGGGAGGCTGAGATAAACTCTCCCATCCCCACATCCTCGGGGAAGGGAAGCAGCCCGCAGGGGCACGGGGCCCTCCTGGCCCATGGGAAGGGGGACGAAAGAGCTCTGGGTCACAGGAGCGCCTGCCCCAGGGAGACGGTTCGCCGGGGCCACTCGAAGGGGGAGGAGGCCACGGCGGCTCAGCTAGGCGGCGAGGGAGAGAACAAAACCGGAGCTGGGGAAAGCCCTGACCTTAGCAGCTCAGATCCCCAGGGGCTCGGAGTGAATGGGGATTCCTAAGGATTTAAAGGCAGAGAAGTTTAAGAAGCTTCTATTTTGAATCCAGGCTAAGGGCGCCTTCTGTCCCGCAGCCCCTCCCCCCTGCGTTTCGGGGGCCAGATCTGAATGAACTACCGAAACCCTAGGGCCCTCTCCTTTGAGAGGCGCTTGGACAGCAGACTCAAGGCATCTCTCTGCCTTTGCTGGAACCCCTGCCCCCTTTGGGGACACACACCTCCAACAGGCCAGAGACCCCGGCAGAGAATGCCTCACAAATAAATAGCTGGGAAGAGTCTGCATACCGTTTCCTCATAGGATCGGCCAGCTCCTTAGAGCCAGGGGCAGGGGAGAAAGGAGAGGAATTAAAATCCCATTTGTGTTAAGGAAATTCAAATGAAGTTGAGAATGGCTCCTGGGTTGCAAAGATGCCCAGGAAAACCAGGCGGGCTGCAGACATTCCTGCCCACCCCCACCCGGCCCTGCAACTCCCCCTTCCTACGGAAGCCCAGCGCCCCAGGAAACAGCGGGCACAAAAGAGAAACTTCAAAATGCAAAGCCTGGACAGTCTCTCCAGAGGCTAACCCCACAGGCGAGCCACTCAAGCGGAACCTGGGGGGCGGGAGGGCGTCTCAGCTATCAGCTCACTGAGGGACGGATGGAACGGGTTTCCAGGGGGGGATGGGGGACAAACAACGTGGACACGGAGTGATAGAAAGGGAACTCGGATCTCTAAAGGGGGCGGACAAACTCGCAGACCCCGGGAGGGCAGAGGGAGGTGGATGCCTAGGTAAGGCAAGGACACCTTCACAATACCGACCCCACAGGGCCTCTGGAGGCCTCAGACCCAAACCAGAGCATCACCCCAACGCCCAGAGGGCATGCATCCTCAGCCAGACACCTTCCTGGTACCAGGCTGGGGGGCACCCCAAAATCCTAGAGGCTTCCCCAACTTCTGCTTTAAACTGGCAGGGCTCTCAAGAGGGCCAGAGTTCTCAAGGTGTCAGGCCCCAGAAGACACCCCGTATCCGAGAGGGGTTGCCCCAAGTCTTCTGTTTAAAAGGCCAGGGAGCAGGGAGCTCAGCCTTGAGACAGAGGGTTGTCACTCCCGCACCCCCAGTCCCCACTTCAAACTGTCACAGGGCTGCAGGGCTAGAGGGTTACGTAGACCCCAGTCCTGAAGAGGCCTCTCATTCAATGCTCCCTGAGCACCCCCAGCGCCAGTTCCTAACGGGCCATAGCCAGGGTCTGGGAGGCTTCAGGCTTTGGGGCGGGGGGGCCCTCGTCCCAGTCAGACTCCCCAGCCGGGCAGCGCGCAAGGAGCCGGGCCGGTTCCGGGAGGGGCAGCCCGTGGCGCACCCGCCTCCCCTGTGTCCGCCCATCCGTCCGTCCATTCGTCCGTCCCCAAGTCCCTCTGCCGGCCGGACCCCTGCCTCTTGCCCACCCTGGGGCTGGAGGTGGGCGCGGGCCGGGCCTAGGCCCATGGCCGGCCCCGGTTCTCGTCCCCCGCCCTCCTCTCTTGCCACCCCCCCTACCCCACCCCGCCAAGTGCTCGGCCTCGTGTCGTCACCGGATCCCCTGGAACGGGGGACGCGGGCGCGAAATACGAACCGGGCCGCCGGCAGCTCCCTCCCCACGTGCGCGCGGCCCGCGGCGCGGAGGGCGGCGGGGCGGGGGCCTCACCTTTGCCCTCCATGGCGAGCACGAAGTCCCCCTGGTACAGCGGGCTGCGCAGCTTCTCTTCCAGGCTGAAGCCGCGGGCGCTCACGATCTCCTCCACGTCCGACACGTCCTCGTTCTCGTCGTACCGCTGGCGGTCAATCGGGCGCTGCGGGGGGACACCCAAGCCAGAGAGAGCCCCGGGGACGTTACTGGGGGGCTCTGGGGGAGGGGTGTCGCCTCTCCCCAAGGGGCCTGGCTCCAACAGGTGCAGAAGCCGCGCGCCCCCTGCACCCCACCGCTGCCACCCACCCGAGCAACTTGGCGCAGATGCCCAAGATGCTGGAAAAGGGGATCAGGAGAGGGGCCGCACCCCCAGGGTCTGCCTGCCTGCGCCCTACACAGACAGGGCATTCCCCTCCGGCATCTTTGGAGGCCGTGGAAGGGACATCTGGGGGCTCTCCCTTGCTCCCCCACCCCCACCCCCGAGAGGGGGTGAGTCTTGCCCACTCAGCCGGGAGGAAGCCTGGTTATGTAACCGGCGAGGGGGGCTCGGCGCCCGGGCCGGCGGGGCGTTGCTAGGCCCCGGGTGGAGCCCGGCGGCGCCCGGCTCGGCGCTCACAGCAGCCCGGCAGCCGCGGCGGCAGAGCCGGGAAGCCGGAACCGGGGCCGGCGGCGGCGGCATTGCTGAGCCTGGAGCCGCCCCCGACCTACCGGGAAAGCTGGGAAGCCGAAATGAAAGGACTGAGACCCCAGCTGCCCCCGCCGACCGCCCTCGGGTGCAAGGAGAAGAGGTGGGAAGGGGGGGCTCTGGGCTGGAGTGGAAGAGAGGCAGCCCGCCCGCCACAAAGCTCCCACCATCCCGAGACCCCAAAACGCACCAGCAGCTGCCTCATCGCCCCATAAGCGCGCGCGCACACTCACTTCCTAAGGAGACTCCCCCGTCCCTCCCCGCATCCTCTGCCTCCTCCTCCCGCCAGCGCCCGGCGCCCGATCCCGCAGCCCCCCGGATCCCGGGCGCACCCCAAGCCCGCGCAGCTCCCCTTCTCCGCCTTTTCCCCGCTACCACCTCGCCCCTGAAGTGTCTGAAACGCTGAGCCTCACAAGGGACTGGAGGAGTAAGCTGCTGGCTTCCTTTTGCATGCAATTTATTATATATATATTTTTTCCGGTCCTCTTGCAAGACAGAAAAAGGAAAAGAAAAGACAGCAAGAAACAGCAACAACAACAACAGCAACAAAAATAGATCTATCCTATACCAGATACAGATGGGGGGGGGGGTTGGGGAGGAGAGGGGGAAAGCTACACACCAATCTTCTTCCAGAGTCTTTCTCTGCCTCCATTTTTTTAGGAGAGTTCACCAATTAATTGTCAACACTCCTGCCCCCTGCATTTTGGCGGTGGGGGGTAAGGAGAGGAGACCAAAGAAAACAAATCCCCCCAAAAAATAAAAATAAATAAATAAAGCAAAGTCAGAGCAGCCGAGGTCTGCAAAGTTTTGCACCAACACTTAAGCGGATCCGTTTGCAAAGTCCTAGGAAACCATTTTCAGCAGTTGTGGGGGGGCGGGGGGAGGCGTCGACGTCATAATCCCCGGAACGTAAACATTGTTGCCGATCGCGCTCGGAGCCCGCGGCCGGGCTCGGGGTTGGGGAAGGGGAAGGGGAAGGGGAAGGGGGGGGGGCGCGGCACTCGGCCTGGGACCCGGGACGGGGGTGGGGGTAGTGAGGGGAGCGGGGCCGGCGGCCCGGAGAGGTCTGGGGCGGGGAGGGCGCCCCGGAGGCACCGGGCGCCGTTAGCGCCCTGGCATCGCTGTTTTGTTGTTGGGTCACGAGTGCGCCTCTGCACGCAGGCGCCGCCGCCGCCGCCGCCGCCGCCGCCGCCGCCGCCGGGGAGTTGTGTGCAGAGCTGACTTTTGGAGGCTGAGTTGCAAGCGGAGGGCGCATCCCGGAGATGGCGGGGCAGGGAAAGAGGAGGAGGAGGAGGAGAGAGGAAGAGGGGGTGGGGGAAGAGGTGCAGATTTGCACGGCTGGCCTCAGTGGGAGGCACGGAAATGCAAGCAAGAGCAAGCTGGCGCGAAAGCCCCTGGGGCTTGGCACCCCAAAAGATGACCCCCAGCTCAACTCCTGCTCCCCGCCCCCCTCTTGCCCCTGGGCTATCCTTCCTCTTCCTTCAGCCACCCCATCCCATTACCTACGGGGCCGAGCGAAATTCAAAGCATTATATATATATATATATATATATATATATATATATATATATATATATATATATATATATTTTTTTTTTTTTTTTTTTTTTTTTTTCCTGCTGCAAGTCATTTCTTTTTGGGTGGGGAAGTTTCTCCTAGACCCTCCCATATGCGGACCTACTATCAGGAGGAAGATTTGGGAGCTCGGAAAGAAATGAGCACAGCTCCATACCTGTACGAACTGCGTAACTTTTAAACTCCCGGGCTCAAGAGATATGGACACACACACACACACACACACAAACGTGCAGGAAATGCAGCCAGACCAGCGCCTTTTCAGATCCGAGCTGACCGGAAGAAGTTGCCTTTCATTCATTCATTCATTCTGCCGGCGCCTGTGGAGTCCTGTGCTTTGCTAAGCGGTGAGCCCTGGAACAGAAGTTGAGAACATTTTTTAAAGGTCCCTGCGCTCGCCAACAGGAGGAAATAGAGGCTCAGGAGTGAAATACGGAGAGAAATGGATCTGGCGCCTCCTAACACAGCTGGCAAACAGGCGGATGGTAAGCCTTTATTGGCCATTTCTAAGAGAAAAGTCTGCGGAAAGATGCAAGGCTCTCTGGGGTGTGGGACAGGGAACTCGGGGCCCCCTTGATTAATCCTATAAGGCTTCTCTGCGGAGATATGGGCACCCTCTGTACATCTACGGAGTGTTATTAGACCTAGGTATGCTTCCCTGTCCACAGACCTGGTTGGCTGTGACCACCCCCAAAGCTGAAATCCTAAATGAACAGTCAGGTCAACTTTGGTTGTGAGAAAAGCTGGCCCTAAACAGTCCTCCAGGCCGTGTAGGCCTGATCTTGGGGGTAAAGATAACAATTAGATGACACGGGGCTGGAAAATAAGTTAAGGCACTTCATAGATGCTTATAGTACAAATTACTTCCCATTCTGTCAGCATTGTATCTTTTCTGCCACCAACCTTTGGTGATTGCTAGGGCAGGTCATTTTGCAGAAAGGGAAACTGAAGCTAAGGGAAGTTATGATTCTGGAGATTGCTCTGCCCTCCTGTCATCCCCACGTCAACACAGCCATCAGACAGATGTGTTGAGAGGAAGTGGCTTTCCTCCTCAGAGACTGGATGTGCACCATCGGCTCCTATTGGTCACCCGAAAAGACGGCTTCCCACTCATGCACCTTCAAGTTTCCTGCCCTGTCTTTCTGTATTCTCTCCCCGCCTCCGCCAAAGACTCCTTAGACATCGTTTTGATCCAAGTCTAGCCGGCAAACATCAAAAACTTTGTTTCACTGTGGCTCAGTGGGAGTAAGAAGGGTTTTGCCTTCCGCCTCTAGCGAGAACCAGGGACCGTTTTATTTCCTCCTCTCTCACAAGAACCCTTGTTATTCTGAAGTACAGCAGCAATCATCACAACAATTCCTCATTTTGCAAAGGAGGAAGCTTCTACTCAGAAAGGCAAGGCCACTGACCCAAGATCACACAGCTTGTAAGCGGGGTTGCTGGGGCTCAAATGGGGGCCTCACACATCACATGCTTTTTACTGCTCCCACATCATGAAACAAACATGTTCAAAGGAAGGTACATGGACTGGAGGGGTCATGGGGGAAAAAAAGGAAAATTGACATAGAAGGCTTGATCTTAATTCTTCTTTCCTCCTAAAGACCTCTCCTCCCCATGTGGCCACATGGTGTCCCCAAAAAGTGGTATCAGGAAAAGATCCGATGACAGGCACCTTAGGGTGAAAACAGTTAAGTCCATCTATCACAGAGGAGCAGTTCCTGGCTTGTCAGAGTGGGAACGGGTAGTTACCTAATTTAATCCCCTCCCTTTACAAACCCCGAGGAAACTGAAGACCAAAGAGAAGAATGGGCTGGCCAGGGGTTTGTTCCCCTCGTACTCCCCCAGAAAGCCTACCCTGCAGCCTGGTCCTAAGTGGTCACTCAATAAATGTTGAGTCCTTGATGGATAACCTTCCCCAGCGATATTTGCATTTTCCCTTTATCAGTAATTGGCAGATGAAAGGCTTTGTCCTACTGTTGAAAGAATTCCAGGCATTTGCTCAAAGTGGGGGAGGTGGCAATTTTGGGCCAAAGGGGGAAGGGCCGAGACCCTTGAGCTTCTGGTGTTGGCTAATTGTCCCAGAGGAGTGGGCAGTAGGTGAGAGAAAGAAGATTAAGGTAATTCTCCAAGAGAAGTACTTTTTCTTGCAGGAAGGAGGGGTGGGGGGAAGACCAGGCCAGCTATATTTAAAACATCATCATAATGATTTCCTGGGCCCTCCTGCTCCTCCTTACAGGAGCCCAGTCAGATTCTGTATTGGCCCCATTCATTCATTTCTTCATTCATCAAAGGTTGATGGAGCAGCTCTGTGCTTTAAGACTGGGGGGATAGAAGAACCAGCTCCGATTAGTTTGTTAGGAAGGGTTGATACTGGACGGAACCCTCAGAATTCAGGATTTTCAAACTGCTAGAAATTGAAGCTGTTACCATACTTATATGTAATTACAATTGCTCCTGATCTTGGAGAGCTTACTCTGTCTTTGAGCAAAGCCACTCGCCTTTGCTCTCTCTCTGAATCCTCATCAAAGTTTTGTGAAGGAGGGTCTGTAGTGCCCCGGCTCAAAGAGAGTTCAGGCTACTTGCCCACATTTTACAGCTGGGAAATAGCAGACAGAACTTGAACCCCGAGCTTGTAGGAATCCAGAGCCCATAGGCTTTTTACCACTCTGCCTCTCTGCAGGGCTGTGGATGGAAATGTTTTTTGTCTGTGATAACACAGGAGCCTCTAGCCACATGGGGCTATTGAACCCCGTGTTAAATTTTATTTCATTGTAATTAAGTTTAAATAGTTATATGTAACTATGTCTACCTTATTGGACAGTGCAGATTTCGAGTGTTTTCCAGAATTTGGCACAACTCCCCTACCAGGCTATGGCATGGTCTGATTTGGCACTGGGTCCCCTATCAACCTTCGGCAAATATTTGTGGAATGAATGAAGAAAATGGAGTATTGTGATGATGAGTTAGGGGGAGGGGCCCAGGGTATCTACAAAGGTTTCCTAGAAGGGGCCATCTGGTACAGTGTGAATGTTTGCGGTGTTAGCCCTTAAACCTCTCACTCTGAGTGCCTGCCAAGAGCATGGCACCATAGGCACCAGGGGATGACAGTTACATACAAGACTGTGCCACCTGCCTGGATCTGACAAACTTCTCAAGGACAGGTAGGGGGTGATGGGGCGGGAAGCCTTAGAATGGGATAACCACTTCCTGATATATTTCCTACTGATAGACTCAAACGCAAAGATGCAAGCCATTGTAGCCCTGTTCGAAACAGAAAAAGATTGAAAACAACCTAAAAGTTGGGGAATGGATTAAATAATTCCTGGGCCATTTGTATGCCCGATGAAATGTTATTAAATCATTAAAATGAATAATGTTGCTCTGTATATACTGATAGGGAAGGAATGGTCTCATAGCCTTATAACAAAACGAGGTGCAGAATACTAATACTTCATTGTGCTTACCACTTTCGTTAAGCAAGGGGCTATATCTATATCTACATATTTTTATATGCCCAGAATTTTCTTTGGAAAGAAATAGGAAAACACACACACACACACACACACACAGTTGGTTGGAGTGTCATCACATACAACAAAAGGTGGCAGGTTCAATTCCCAGTCAAGGCACATGCTGGTCCGCAGTGGGGGACATGCAGGAGTCAGCCAATAAATGATCTTTTCTCATTATTTAAAAAAAAAAAAAAATGGGAAAAATAAAAGGGAAGAAAACTTGTTTGGTATAAAATGAAATTTTTACCACATGCATGCATTAATGTTTCCTGATTTTGAACCTTACAGACTTATTTCATTTTATATGCTGTAGTACCTTTTGAACTTTGTTCTATGTAAATATGTTGCCTATTCAAAAAGGAATTACATTTTAGTCACCTTTTTTGATGCTCTAGGATTCAAAATCAGGCAAATTTAAACCAAATAAATATTGCTTAGCTATACATAGGTAAGTGGTAAAGCATAAATAAATGCAAAGGAGTGATCAACAAAATGCAGGAAAAGACTGAACTCTAGGGATAATGTGAACAGCAAGAGGTACTAGTAATTTTCTCTTTCTGAATCTATAGGTGGTCACCCAAATATAATTCTTCCTCTCTCTCTCTAAAATCAATGAAAGCATATCCTTGAGTGAGGATTAAAAAAAAAAAAAATCAGGATAATGTGTATGTTATGACCCCATTTATATTAAAACAAACTGCATATAGATGATGAATAAACACACACAAAAGAAAAACATAGAGAAGAAATTCTTGAAAGGGTTATATAGACTATACTTAAATATGATTTGAATTTGTAATTATCACTGTGTCCTTAGAAATTTATCAAATACTAAAAACATAAAGGGAGAGAAAATAAATACCACAAAAATTATAGCAAGGACTAGTGTATTTAGTGCCAGACTTTGCCAAAACTTAGAGTTTTGCCATATTTTGTATTACTCTTGCAATTATAAAATATTTGGGGGAAGAACATACCATACTATTTCCATTAAAATGTTTGGAATTCCCAAGACCTTTTCTGGTTTTTCTTTCTTCAGCACCTTGTAGATTGAAGTATCAGAGTAGGGAAGATCAGAATCACATAGAGCTGTGGTCATTTGGAAAAGACTTAAGTTGATGTCTAGAGTTCTGCATTTTTCTAATCTCTCTTCCTGTGTGAGCTTTGG